CACAGCAAGGACAAGACCCAGGCCCAGCTCTCATTAATCTGCATTGAGAGAAAGCTCTTCAGACCACACAGGATTGCCTTCCCAAGAAAGCTGAACAGTAAGATGACAGAGATTGGTGTTAATATCTGGGATCTCTACCAAGAATGGGATATATTAAAATTCTGCTTGTAATTTTTGAAGCATTTCAAAATTTTTGAAGCTTGTAATTTTTGATCTGGGAACGCAGATCATACCCAAAGTGCGGCTTCCAGTCTCCCCTATTCACACAGCAGGAATGACGGTGCAGCACCAGCAAGTTACCCCAGTGTCAGATCAACCTGGGCTCAGGCAGAATTTCCCTGAACCTTGTGAATTGTCCTAAGCTGTATGGTTTTTCAAAAAAAAATTTTTAAATAAAAAAGGATCCATATTCCTTCTGCTCTTACTTTCCTCTTCCAGGCAACCCCTTTTGGGTCGTTGGTCAACAAAAGCAAGACCATCACCCAGCAGTTCTAGAAAGCATCTCCTTAGCTCCCTTCTGTAATACAAGGATGAGTCCCATATGAGGCAGCTGGTATATGGTGGAAAGTTTCCGATCTGGTTTTAGAGGTCTGCAGGTTTGGGATCGGTTCTAACACTTAGTTTATCCTCTTTCATAAACCATACACAAGGAAGGCGTGGTGGTGATGCAAAATGGCATAGCCATTATGGAAAACAGTGTGGAAATGCTTCAAAAATTACAAGCAGAATTTTAATATATCCCATTCTTGGTAGAGATCAAAAAAAATTCAAAGCAAGGTCTCAAAGAGATATTTGCACACTCTTGTTCACTGCAGCACTATTCACAACAGCCAAGAGGTAGAGGCAATCAAGTGTTCACTGATAGATGAATGGATAAAGAAAAATGGTGTGTATGTAGACAACGGAGTATTATACAGCCCTTAAAGGAAGGAAATCCTGTCACATGCCACAACATGGATGAACTGCAAGGACACTATGCTAAGTGAAATAAGCCAGTCATAAAAAGACAGACAATGTATCGTTCCCCTCATATGAAGTAGTCAAAATCCACAGAAACAGGAAGAAGGGTGGTTGCCAAGGTCTGGGGGGTGAAGAGGAGATTAGATTGTGTTTAAAGGGTACAGAGTTTCAGTTTTGCAAGATAAAAATGTTCTAGAGATCTGTGGTACAGTACGACTGCATTTACCAGTATTGAATTTTACACTTTAAAATGGTTAAATTAATAATGTTATGCATTGAAAAAGATGCCCAAGACAGATTAAGAAAGTAAGAAACCAAATGAACAACAGGGAGAGGGGAGAGGAAAGGCATGGTCAAGTCCATACATTTAGCTCAGAGTCCATACTGGGGGTCCAGGGAAGGAGCAGGGATGCATACACCTGCTGCAGGCCCAGCCTAAAAGACAGATGTGACGTCCTCAGCCAGATCCCTTCACTCTGAGGGCTTCCCGCTCTGGGAAACAAAGGTGGTCTTCGTTTCCCCATGCCATGCAGTGGTCCAGAGAAGATCAGGGAGATTGTCATCTCACACAGGTGAGGCTCTGGGATCCTTATCAGAACAGCTGCACTCTGAGGACTATACCCAGCTGTGGCCAACCTGTGGGGCTTGTGTCTTCTGAACCCACAAGAGCGCCTAGCAACCAAAATCCTGCCCAGTGTTAGCCTGGCACCATCCTACGTGAAAGGACAAAGTCAGGAATAGTCCTTTACACAGAGATCCCATGCCCTAGTTCTTGACAGCTATAATTACAGGCAAAACAGCTTTTAAAAGAAAAAGAAGAAAAGCAAATAGCAGCCTGGACCTAGCAGTGAATTGTGGGGTTTGGGGTAAAACAATGAGAACACTTGCTATTAACTGTGGCCAGTCTAAACAAGGGACTGGACGGCCAGACCAAACAGCTTTCTGGCCAGTTGATTTCACCCTCTAAATTAATGAGCTGCTCATTAAGCCCTGGAAGTTGTCTGCAGAGAGGGAGCTTCAGGAAAAGGCATATAGGCCACAAGGGCTGGTGGGTGCTGACGGATGAGACTGGGGCCCCACACCCCAGCCCTGAGTGCCTGCGGACCCCGTGACTGGCTGGCCAGAGCCTCCCTGCTTCCCACTGATGTTTCCCTGTGCCTCTACTTCTGCTCCTGCCTCCCTTCCTAGGGAGGTTCCACATCCTAGTTCTTTGGTTCCTCGACCGGGGTCATGACTCACATGAGTGTCACAAAGAGCCTTCAGCAGGGTCACAAAGGGGCCAGCACAGAGCCACAGGGTATGAATCCCAACTCCACACCTATTAACAGCACCTTGACCTTGAATAATTTAACCTGCCTAAGGTTATATTTCCTCATCTACAGAATGCAATCTCACATTGTCTAGAATAATTGTAAATAGTAAATAAAACGTTATTTCAATATTAACAAGCCTAACAAATCACCTGATGCATAAGTAGCTATTACTGGTCATAGCTGCTATAGAAAGAGGTTATTACTTTCATGATAGTGACGTTAGTGACAACACATTATTGTCCTTCAGTCCAATGTAAATAAAAGAGGGACTTTTCAGTTGAAACCTGAAGGACAGGCCAACTCCAGCACCAATCCTCCTCATCCCAGAGCAGCAATGTCGATCTCAGTGAGAGCAGCAGCCCACCCTAACAGCGGCGACACCCCCGATTATTCCCCAGCCCAGGCCTCGGTGCTCTGGGAGCCAGAAGGCAAAGGAAGAGAAGCAGCCCGGAAACACTGAACACCAAGCCTGCGACAAAGGGGTGAGGAAATTTGCATTTTCTCACGAGACCAAGTGGAAAAATGCATTCAGTCCACATGTATGCCCTTTCCTACACCCACGTGGCTCCTTGCTACACCTCTCTTGAGTCTCAGTTCCATCTAGAAAATGAGGGCAACTGATCCCCCACTTTGCAACTTGCTGTGAACCCTGAATGAAATAACTCATGTGAAAGTGATTTGAAGCTACTTGTTACCATGTCCATGAAAAATAGTACTGCTGTATTTAACAGTGGTCCCGATAAATGCAACTTAACAATAAAAAAAAACCTGCAAGACTGGGAAGATCAAGGCAGTGAAAAGACTATTTTATGAGGCTCATAAACTGCTCAGAGAAATAGCCACAAACATGCTAATTTTCTTCCCAAGGTTGCTGTCAGTGAATTGAGGTTTTTGTTGATGAGATAAAGAATCAGCTGAAAATAAAACTGACAAAGCAAAAGGAAGCTCTAAGCACCAGTTATGCCTTTTCCATGTCAGTAAACAGATTATTTTAAAGGAAAACAAGGCCAGGTACAGTGGCTCACACCTATAATCCCAGCACTTTGGGAGGCCATGGCAGGAGGATAGCTTGAAACCAGGCATTTGAGACCAGCCTGAGCAACAGAGTGAGATCTCATTTCTATAAAAACATTTAAAAATTATTCAGGTACGGGGTGGCACTTGTGGCTCAAAGGAGTAGGGCGCCGGCCCCATATACCAGAGGTGGCGGGTTCAAACCCGCCCCCGGCCAAAAAGTGAAAAAAAAAAAAAAATTACAGGTACGGTGCACGTGTGTAGGCCCAGCTGAGCAGAAGGCTAAGGAAGGAGGACCATTTGAGCCCAGAAGTTCTAGGCTGCAAAGAAGTATGAATATACCTCTCTACACTCCAGCCTAGATGAGAAAGCAATACCTTATCTCTAAAATAAAATTTAAAAATAAACTAAAACATAAAAACATAGAGGGCAATGACCCCAAACCAGACTGTATCAGGGGATAATTAATCCAGCCACCTCTAACACCAATTCTTTCTTTCTTTTTTTTTTTTTTTTTTGAGACAGGAGCCTCAAAATGTCCCCCTGGGTATAGTGCCATGGCATTTCAGCTCACAGCAACCTCCAACTCCTGGGCTCAAGCGAGTCTCCTGCCTAAGCCTCCCAAGTAGCTGGGACCACAGGCACCTGCCACAACAACGCCTGGCTATTTTTTAGTTGAAGCCGTCATTGTTGTTTGGCAGGCCCAGGCTGGATTCGAACCCGCCACCTTGGGTGTAGTGGCTAGTGCCTTAGCCACTTGAGCCACAGGCGCCAAGCCCCAATTCTTTCTTTAAAAAGTTTTTTAAAAATCTACTTGACCAATCCCCAAAAGGGGCAAGTCTCAGGTAATTTCTTTTGTTCCACTATAGAGCACATGCACAAATTCCTTCACAGTGATCAGGAAACAGTTTATTTCTTGTTTAGTTTTGCTCCACGCACCACAGAATTAGAAAGCAACAAGTTGGTATACATACCAACTCTTCCAAAGCACATGAAAAATGGCAAAAAAAGAATGCCTGGACACGCCCAGACCTAAAGCAGCCAACCAAGGAAATTTTGTTGAAATCTCACATTTAGTCTAGAAAATTAAAGTAAATCTTATATTCTAACCACAAGAAACTGCCTTTTAAAAAAATGTTTTGAGTCAATTAGCACCTCCTTATGAAACCTTTTCTCTAATTTTTTTTTTTTTTTTTTTTTTTTTGCAGTTTTTGGCTGGGGCTGGGTTTGAACCTGCCACCTCCAGCATATGGGGCCAGCGCCCTTCTCCTTTGAGCCACAGGTGCTGCCCTTCTCTAAAATTTTTGAATAAAAAAGATACTTTCCAGGGCACTCTACCTAGGGTGACATAGAAAGACTCTGTCTCCAAAAATAAAAAAAAAGGGGACTAGCACCATTCACCCCCTGGCCAGCCACCACACCTCCTCAAAGGTAATACATGTCTCAGTTTGAGGAGCTACAATCACTAGAAAGAGAAGATGAGTCCTCCCACCCCGCCACCACCACCACCCACCATCACATCCATTTTAACGCTGGCCCTTTATCAAGATCAACCACCAAACTCAAGAGCTTCCTGGATGGTACAGGGAAAAGGAGTCTAGAATTTGCAAAGGGTAGAGCCATCCATGTTGAGCCCTCCAGCATTACCTAAAAGGGTCAGCAGCTAAGGTACTCGAATTCCAGGTCCACACAGCCCCACCTGGAGCCACTCACCCGTATCCGACGCATGGCAGCCACAATCTCCACCCTGCTGTTGGGCCTCGGCACATCCAGGCTTCCTACGTACTGTGGGGAAGAAGCAAACACACATTGAGAAAAGGGATAGCAAGCGCCCCCAACCACGCAAAGTTAGTGGTGCGAGGACATCCAGTTCGTCTCCCCATCTTACAGATACGGAACTTAAAGAGCCCAAAGAGGGATTTGTTTCTAACTTTATGAAAAGCAGCTTAACCAGAAATTACTGCTGACTTTTTTGTCTTGCTGTGAATCAGAGATGCAGTGATGGAGAGGAAGGAGCATTGTGTTTAACCAAGCAGCCTCCTGAATCACAAAGGCTCAAGCGTGAAGACTCTACCACATCTTTTTTTTTTTTTTTGGTTGTTTGTTTGTTTTTTTGAGACTGAGTAGAGTACCCTAATGTCACAGCTCACAGCAACCTCAAACTCTTTGGGCTTAAGCAATCCTCTTGCCTCAGCCTCCCAAGTAGCTGGGACTGCAGGGGCCCACCCCAATGCTCAGCTAGTTTTTTTAGAGACAGGGTCTTGCTCTTGCTCAGGTTGGTTTTAAACCTGAGCTCAAGCAATAGACTGCCTTGGCCTCCCAGAGTGCTAGGATTACAGGTGTGAGCCACCATGCCTGGCTTCTCCCACCACTATCTTTATGGCAAGACACTGCCTTTTTTCCTCAATTTCCTCATCTGAAAATGAAAATATAGTGAAGATCAAATGAAATAAAATATCTTAAACAAAAGTGCTTGGCAAATATTAGCCCACTCAAAAAGAATACTTTTTTTTTTTTTGAGACAGAGCCTCAAGCTGTTGCCCTGGGTAGAGTGCCATGGCATCACAGCTCACAGCAACTTCAAACTCCTGGGCTTAAGTGATTCTCTTGCCTCAGCCTCCCAAGTAGCTGGGGCTACAGGCACCCACCACAATGCCCAGGGCTATTTTGGGGTTGTAGTTCTCATTGTTGTTTGGCAGGCCCGGGCTGGATTCGAACCTGCCAGCTCTGGTAGTGTCTGTGGCTGGAGCCCTGGCTGCTTGAGCTACAGGTGCCACCGAATATGTACTTTCTTTTAATTAATAGAACTTCAGCCGTGGATGTTTGGAGACATCATATATTTGAGTAAATTCCTAATTGGAGGAAAGAAATGGACTACTAATTTATTTAAAAATGTAACCTCATTATACTTTTAAGTTATTTTCAAAACCAAATTACATGCAGGTTAATATAATGAGCACTTTTTCCACTGGAAGCTATTCAAACAGCGCAAATGTAGGCAGAGGAAAAGAATAAAATCCCCCTTGTCAACAGCTGCTATACATTTCTTTGTGTGTTAATAACATACATTCACAGTCACAGGGGAGAATCTGTTTTATGTACAAGGTTCATATTACTCACATTATTCTGCAATTTGGTTTTTTGACTTTAAATACACCTTGGTTATCTTTCTATGCCAAAGTACACAGGTCTCCACAGGATAAGTAATGGCTCACCCACTGTTGAAAACTTAATGCTATGTTATTGATACAAACTGTATTTCCTTGAACAGTCCTACCTACACATCTTTGAGTTCATCCAAGTAGCTCTTTAAGCTGGATTCTTAGAAGTGACATTGCTGGATCAAAAGTATAATCTCTAGATATCTCTAGATATCTCTAGGATGAAATTTTAAAAAAAAAGGACAATTCAATATTTATTAAGCATACACAATATTAGTTTCTTCATATATACCATCCCATTGCACACTAACCCATGGGGATGTGCCTTTCCTTGTTACCCACAAATTACATGAAATAGCCAAAAGGACAGCCCAGAAATTAACTTCCTCAGAAAAACTTAAAAGTTTACCCAAGCAAAGATTGCATTAATAGGAGACAAAAGCAGAACGGTTATCTGTGCTGGACGGGTATTCCCTGTGTTTACAGGAAAAGAACATTTTTCCCAAAATTTGGAGATAAGGCCTGGCCCCAATGAGAAGGGTTTCAAAAACCAAACACTGCTAAAGGATTTCCCCTAATATTGACTGACAGCTTTTGCTGATAAACTGAAGGGCGCAATTCCGAGCAGCCAGTGGTAAGCAGCCAGCATGCTGTGGTTTGTCCCAGGAGGATGGCCCCGCACAGCCCATCTGGAGCAACACATCTCCTGGTAAATGGAGCCACCTGGATCTAACAGTGGGGACAGATTTAACCATAGTGGCATTTCTCCCCTCTGAGCTCTGCTGGGGCCATTCGGTCTATCCACATGTCAGTGACCCATGTAGCCAAGAACAACGTGAGGCCTAGATTCGTGACTGTCCAACTTCAAAAGCTGGGCACTCCCTCTCCTGGACACTGCACAGCTGATGGCTCCTGCCCTGAACTCTGTGCAGTCAGCAACACGAGCCCTCAGGGCTCCAGTTCCTCAGCCATCCTGTGCAAGCTGGGACCTCAGGAGTGAGCAAGGTCACCCATCACAGGGGATCCAGGACTCCCCCTGCACAGAGAGACCCACCATGGGCCTGAACACAGACACGGCCCATCCCCAGGCTGCTACCCAACTCTAGCCCGTCTTCTCCTCCTCAGGAAGAGGCACTGCTGGACTGGGAATGTCGAACCTGGCAAGGGGAGGACAGAGCAGCACAGAAGACTGGGGAGGACTCTACCTTTGAGCAAGGTTTCCAACAAAGGGCTCACATGAAAAACACCCAACATCTTCACACCCAACTAACTGCCTCCTTCACTCCATCAGCCACCACCCAAGCTAGTACATGTGCACACATGTGCCACACACCTTTACACACTCAAGGAAAACGTGTGCTTGCACCCCTCCCACCACACCCCTACTCACCTACTCATCCATCTTCTCCCTCCCTTCCCGATTATATGAAGAAAATCCCTTCTGAGACACGCCCTTCAGAGAATGAGTCTGGACCAGACAACACATCCATCTTAGGGTCACCCAAAGCAACTAAAGGACATACAAAGTGGAATTCAGGTCCACTCACATCTCCTAGACAAAAGCTACGTATTAATATCCACACTAATAACAGGAATTAAAAAGCAGAACCCCACGGCTTGGCACCTATAGCACAGTGGTCACAGCATCAGCCACATACACCAAGACTGGGTTTGAACCCAGCCCATGCCAGCTAAACAACAATGACAACAACAACAACAAAAAATAGCCAGGTGTTGTGGTGGGCACATATAGTCCCAGCTACTTGGGAGGCTGAGGCAAGAGAATCACTTAAGCCCGAGAGTTTGAGGTTGCTGTGAGCTGTGACGCCACAGCACTCTGCCAAGGATGATACAGTACAACTCCAAAAATAAATAAATAAATAAATATAAAAAGCAAAACCCCAATACCAGGGAAGCAGAGAAACATCAGAAAGCCTACTACTTGGGGCAAAACCAGAGGGTTTGAAGAGCGAACCCCTCTTTTCTTTACATGTAGAACACATAGCAAAAGAAGTATCTCGGTAACAACCATTACCATGACCACTAACTTCAGTCTGTCCCCGAGTCTCTAACTTGAACAATGAGTGACACACAATCTAAGACCAGACCTGTTCACTGGGTGGAGGATGCTTCCTACAGCCGCTCACCTTCAGGGGCCAAGCTCACCATCACCTCTGTGGTAAGCTGACCCTTGGCAGCACCCTCCTGCTCTGGACTGGAATGTTAGCTCAGCAGGTAGATGAGGCTCGAGCCTGAGAGCCAACTACTTTCAGAGATCCAGGCGCTGCTGATTCCTGCAGAGATCAAATTCCTTGCTTCCAATTAAAGGTAAGAACATCATGACAGGGCATCACTCAGCAATGGCATTCCCTTATCTGGCTCTCCTGCAGGATACAAGGCTCTAAGGACTCCTAGGACAATGGCGGTGGGTTGGCCTGATGCCTGGGAACTGGAGGAATAGTTTTCAAAACAGAAACTCGTGCTTTTTTCCCTCACCTTCCCCCATGTTTGTTCCTCCCAGGCCTTCCTGACATTGACGATTAGCCCCCTATAAATCACCCATTGTTCAAACATGAAACCCGACTGTCACACACGAACACGTACCTCTCATCCATCACAGCCACTCAGTGACCAGCACCTGCCAATCCTCTCTCCACACTAATAACGTGAATCAAAAAGCAGAACCCCAACACCAAGGAAGCAGAGCTTCTCTGCTTCCACCTCTTCATCCACACTGCCACTTCCCAACCCCAGAAAACCTTCTCTGTCAGTCTACACAACAAACTCCTCACACTGTCTCCGCTGCTCCTGTGGCCCTGCTCTAAACCATTTCCCAGACAGTCATCAGAGTGATCTCTGTAAAATGCAAACCAGATCATTTTATTCCCTTGCTTAAGCAACCTCCCATGCTCGCTTCCCCTTGCTCTAAATATGCCAATCAAAATCCTCAGCATGGGCCAGTCGTGATGGCTCATGCATGTAATCCTAGTACCTTGGGAGGATCACTTGAGGTCAGGAGTTCAAGACCAGTCTGAGCAAGTCCCAGTCTCTACAAAAAAATGGAAAAATTAGCAGGGTGTGGTGCTGGGCACCCATAGTCCTAACTACTCAAGAGGCAGAGGCAGGAGGATCACTTGAACCCAGGAGTTTGAGGTTGCAGTAAGTTAGGCTGATGCCACTGCATTCAAGCCAGGTGACAGCAAGATTGTCTTAGAAGAAAAATCCTCAGCATGGCCTGCATAGACACATGGTCCAGCTTCATCACCCATCAGTAGCCTCTCCAGGTATTCAGAAGTTCCTCAAACACCTCCACGCGCTCTCACATTCGAGGGTTTCTGTACATGCTCTTCCCTGTGCATAGAACACTTCTCTCTCCTCTACCCTCTCACCCTCTAATCTTCCAACACGCATGACCTAAAGCCCTCTGCATCATCTCTGCTTCCCCTCTGCTGACCCCTGGAAGGGAAGGATGCCCCAAATCTCTACACTTCTCCATACAGCCGCAACACAAGGCCAAAAGCACACTGTATTCATCACTGGCTGACCATGCCCTACCGCAGGTCCAGGCACACAGATGTTCAAAAGACACAAGCGACTAGAATCTTCCAAGAATGAACACATACG